GCGGCAAACAAAGATTGGATTTTGACAGAAGAAAACGAAGTCAACATCCAATCTGCGTTTGCTGCGTTGTCGACGTCACTTCCTTCTCCATAGTCGCCGTGGGAGTCCAAAACGTGCAACATAGAGCCCCTGGTCAGGTAGGGCCAACTAGAATGCTCGTGAGCTTCGTCGCCTCGTTGACGAGTTCGACTTAGGATACGCTTGGTGCGAGTTACGCGGATCCTCTTTTGCGCCCACGTGGTTTCGTGCGGGCTGGAGCAGTCGTTTAGGCCGGGTGTACCTCCCAACCTGGCTTGCTGCATGTCTTACTCGATGTGAGACCCTTTCGTTTCCCTCTGCGGCGGGGTACATCTCGGATCATCGTATTGTCCCGATTTCCTTGTCCGTTCCTGGGTGCGAACAGCCTCGCTGCATTTTTTGGCGTTTTGACGTGCGGCTTCTTCGGGATAGAGAAGCGGTTCAGTGACTCCGCCAAGCGCTCACTGAGGCACAACGTGTCATGGGCCGGATCCTGCACGTTGGGACAGCTTGAAGGTATTGTGGCGTTCTCTGTGCGTCCGCGAGGGCAAGTGGAGTCGGCGTCAACTCTCTTACAAGCTCAATGAGGTCCTGCGACGCATTCGGATCATACTATACGACACGATACGAACTTTATTTTTCACCACAAATACAAGTGGTGAATGGGAGGCCGGAGAAAAAGCTGCAGAAATGCAGCTCGACGAGGCTCCGGGCCCCCCATTCAGAAGCGACGACGGAGTACATACAATACAGTGGTCAAAAAAGAGAACATCAATTGAACAAATTGAATATTTGACTGTTTGAGAATTGCGCAATATTTATATTTTTAAGAAAATGTTCGTTAAAAATAGGCGGTAAAACATAACTTTTTTTTTTTCCATAGTTGGTCCTACATTTCGGAACTTGCCAGGGCTGGTGATTTCTCGATGTATAATAATCGCTTTTTTCTCTTAAATCAGACAGTTGAAGAATTATATTTGAGCGTCCTAATGCCGTATATTTATACCCCATCGTTAAACAATAGTTATAGATTTGGTTATATTGATAATCTTGTACGATTTGAACAGTGACTGCGCATGATATATGTTGGAAACGTTACTATTATTCTTAGCACTTTTTTGTTGAATAAGTGTATTATATGTAAGTTTGAGAAAGACGTGTTACCCCAGATAAGGGTGCAGTAACATAAATGAGAATAAAATAAGGAATTGTACAAAACCTTTTTTACGCTGGATGGAAGGACGTGCCTTTGCTTATTTATAATTCCTGCTGCTTTGCCCAATTTAGAGCAGATATATTTAACGTGATTGGTCGAGAGCATGGCTTCGGAAAAAAAATGACTCCGAGAGTTTTTACGCTATTTACAAATTCAATGTTTGAACACCCGAAATTAAGAGGTCTATAGACGCTTTGCAGCAGCTGTGCATGGGCACCGCCATAGCTGACCTTCAGTTTTTGTTTCCTCTTATTGCGTTTAATTCACGTCATCATTACCCTAGCAGGGCAGGTCACTGCCATTTTAGATTTTATCGTGTCCTTCTCCCCAGCATCGGCCTTTGTGAAGGCTTGTCAAAGTTCGCTTCAATGGCTCGGCATCTGAATAAGACAAGAGAAGGTCAGCAATGGCTGCCGTAATCTGGCGCGTGTGCAAAGCGTCTATAAACTCGGTTACTTGAACCGCGTGGGCGAAACATTATTGCTTTTGTTTTTGAAGTATTTATATTCAGGCAATAGGACTGAGACCATACTTTTAACTTTGAAAGAAATCCGTAAGCTTTATTTATGAGGCCCCCTTCGGATATATCAGAAAAAATATATACTCGTGTCATCCGCGTAGATTATATATTTACAGTTTGATTCAATGTTCGCAATATCATTAATATATAATAAAAAAAGAAGTGGTCTTAGAATACTTCCTTGGGGCACTCCAGCTGATGTGGTTAATGAAATTGATTTCTCATTATTAATTTGCACAAACCGGGTACGATATTCTAAATAAGATTTGATTAGTGTATGTGGAAGATAACGAATGCCATAAGCATATAGTTTATCTAACAAAATGGAATGATTTTTACAGTCTAATGCTTTGCTGAAGTCTAAAAATATTCCAAGCGTTAACGCTTCTTCTTCGAAATTTGTAGGTATTTCTTCCTTTTGAACCAATGACGCTGTCTCGGTTGACCTATTCTTTCGAAATCCGAATTGACAGTCAGTAATAATAGAGTGCTTATCACAAAAATAAACAACACGAGAGTGAATTATGTTTTCTAGACTTTTAAGAACATAGAAAGTATAGATATAGGACGGTAGTTCCCTAGTTCATTTTTGTTACCTGCTTTAAAGAACGCTAAAACTTTTGCAGTTTGCATTTTTTGGGGGAAAAGTGCCAGATGATAGTGCAACGTTGAATATGTATGTTAGACATGGGAGCAATGATATCTATCACTTACTTTATAGGTTTAATTTTCAAGTCATTGGCATCCCGACTGTGATTATTATTACGAGACAAAATAGAAGAACAAACCTCAGTTTCATCAGTAGGGTAGATAAATAGTGATTCCGAGATTGACCTAATCTGATTTGACGCTTCAGGATTGTAAGAGCTATTAGCTATATTCACGAAATAGCTGTTAAATGCATTTGCCAAATTCGAACCGCTCAATATTTCGCCATTATGGTTTATGTTTTCAATTTTGTTTGATTTATAGAACATATTAAGAACACTGTTTATACGTTTCCATAATAAATCGGCTTTTTTTAGGCACTCCGAATCAAATAAATTAGAGTAATAGAGTTTTTTTTTCTAATTTCCCCAGTAATTGATTTCTATATATTTGAACTGTTCAAGTGCCGTTTTTTCACGAGTTGCATGAAATATTTGATAAAGTTGGTAATAACTACGTGTATTTTTAAAAAGTGTAGGGGTCATCCATGGCTTTCGTCCCTTTCTAGCAAGTTTAATGGTTTTATCTGGAAAACAGTCAGAATAGAGCTGCTTAAACTTCTTAATAAACGTGTTTTATGCGCTATCTACGTCGTCGGAATGGAATACATCGGCCCAATCTGAAGTCATTAATTTCTGCTTAAATGTATCTAGAGTAGTTTGAGTAATTTTTTGAACAGTCACAGTATCTGAATTGCGTTTACATACTTCTCGTGCTGTATCGACTAGCGACATATATGGGCAAATGAGCGCTAATATCAGAACTTACTACACCAGCTCTGACCTTTTCATTGTCAAAATTTGTAATAAATATATCAGTTATCGTAGATGTGAACAATGTAGTGCGCGTCATTAAGCGCGGTAGTATACCTTTGCGCCCCTCATGTCTGAGTACTTGACCTGTTGCGGGAAAGGTACTCTCGCCTTCTGCGAGAGAGTTCAGGAACCGCGTCATTGCAGCCCTGGGACAGACGTCCCGTGTCAGGCCCTGAGGTCCTCCGCCACTTCCGCGTCTCTCGGGGCCGCTGGGATCGACCGGGCTGGGTTCCGCCTGTCGCCACACCAGATGGCTTCCAGTCGTCCCACCCGCCTGACATAGCGAAAGTTTTCTTCGAACTCTTTGTAGCCTTGTTCCGGATGGAAGATTACTCCCCCCGGAACACTCACGATTTCCTCGTCCAACAGTTTTTGGTTCCTTACCTCAAGTCCCGTCCGACCTGCGTGATACTATGCACCGCCCTGTCAGCGCATTCGAGGCTTACGAGGCTCTCAGAGGCATGAAGATGGTTTCCGCGCCAGGTTTCGACATCCTGCCTGCAGACTTTTACAAAAAGTTTTGGCCCCAGGTTGCCGCGGCACTAGTACGCGTATTCATTGCTTTCCTTCGAGGCGGCAACGTTCCCGACTCCTTCCGGCGTGGCCGCATCGTCCTCGTCCCGAAGGAGACTGGCGACCTCCCACGCCGCAGGCCTGGCGGCCCGTCACTCTCCTCAACGCAGACTACAAACTGTTGGCCACCATTCTTGCTCACCGCCTCCGAGACGTGTTACCAGGACTTATAAGCCCTTTTCAGACCTGCTCTGTTCCTGGACGGAGCATATTCTCGTCCCTTACGCTAACGCGTGACATGTTCGTTTCACAGAGTCCCGTGGCCTTTCCGGCGCTTTCATTTCCTTAGACCAGGAGAAGGCTTTCGACCGTCTAGATCACCACTTTTTGCTTTCAGTCCTTCGGACGAATGGATTCTCTCCAGACTTCGTGCGCCTCTTTGAGGTTTTATATCTGAATCAGGTCAGTGACGTCGTTGTCAATGGCCAGATTACCCAGTGCTTTGCCGTTGAGCGAGGGGTACGCCAGGGCTGTACCCTGTCACCCTTACTTTTCGTCCTTTGCCTGGACCCGCTTCTCCGACGAATCCACGACCAACCCTCGGTACGTTACTTCCCTCTTCCTGGCTCGGGATCCATCAAAGTATCCGCATATGCGGACGACGTCTGTTTTTTGTACGGTACTCCGGGAGCATTATATCAGCCCTACGGCTGTATGAAAAGTACGCCGGCCTTTCAGGGGCCCGGCTCAATACGTCCAAAAGTAGAGCAGTTCTCTTTGGTGGTTTTGCCGACCCACTTCACGCTGGCATTTGACTGTTCTGGTGTGTCGGCAGAAACATGAAACAGCATTGCCACAGCTCGTCGTGCCAAAGGCCGCTGTGGCTTCGCGTTTCTCCCTGTCCTAGCACGATAGAGCTTATATCGTGAATTCGGTCCTGTACGCCCGGCAGTCGTACGCCTCACGGGTCGCTCTCCCATCTCCGTCTGTCGTCCGGCGCATTACCTCCATGATTTTCGCCTTCTTCTGGCAAGGGCGGCCTGAGCTGGTCGCTCGCTCGGCCCTTCGAATGTCGTGCTCTGATGGGGGACTGAGCATCCCATGCCTTGTCACCTTCAGCCGCATACTTGCCCTTCAGAACGTCCTGGACATCCTAGACGCCCCTGACTATTCTGGCCGGACCCTGACGCTGTACTGGCTCAGCACCCACCGTCGCGTCCTGGTGCCTCGGGGGCTAGGAAACTCGTGCCCGACGGCGGAGTCCCCATTGTCTTTCTACGCGACAGTAGTTCAAGTCTATCAGCAGTTATAAACGGCCACGCCTGACTGTGACGTCCGTGAGGTACGTGTTTCACGTCTTTGTGAGGCCCTTTGCGAGCCGGAGGTGCCCCTTCTACTCCGAGTTCAAAGTCGGACTGCAAACGAGACCAGCGCTTTCTCCCCAGACATCCCTCCCGGCCTTGCAGACTTTCATTGGCGGCTTGGGCGGGGCGTTCTACCTACCCTTGACTGTCTAGCACGATGGGCTGTCGCTAACTTCAGATTGTGTGTCAACTGTGAGCAGGTTGAAACCAACACCTATGCTGTGTCTGAGTGCGTTGTAGCCAAAAATTTTGTATACTCTTGTGAGTCGCATCTTCGCGCTGCCACTGAGCAGACATTTCTACGCCAGACACCGGAGTGCGGGTCTGGGGCTTGCCGCCACCTGCTACGTCTTGTGGCAAAAGAGGAACGTTGCTGTGGGCCGCCAGCGCCGTCTCTGTCTGATGTTCCCGTTGCTGCGACGGCTCCGCACACTGCTCCTCTCCCGCCTCGACAACGCACTTTCGCCATTCGGGAGGAGGAGTTTTTCCGGAGGTGGCATGCGGACTTCATTGGCGTTGTAGGCCTCAGAGTGGTGCTTCAAGTTCAGTGGTGCCTTGATCAATAATCTTTTCACGCTCCTTTTCGTAGTGTAGCGGATGGAGCCCTTCTAGACTACTTGTTATTTATTATCTATGTGTCTGTGATCCTTTTTTGCTACCCGTTTCCAGGTAATTACTGTATATATTTGTATTGCTCCCGGGAGGTAGATTTCGAGTTGTCATTTACGTTCGTGTGCGTCCTCTTTGTGCCTGGCGTTTCCTCGTTTTGCTTATGTACTGTTGTCCCAACTTGTAAATAAATTTGTTTTTTCCAGCTGAAGGAACACCGTTCCCATAATTCCTTGAGTGCGGTTCGGGGCACTTGGGGGATTTAAAAAATGGTATAAAATATATGAAGTGTTAATTTCAGGCTTGTGTGCTTCTTTTTATATGCCGGACGGCATCCAACCAACTCCTCCACGGCCCATTCATTTAAAAGGGAATTCGTATTAGGGCAATTCTTCGAAGGGCGGCTTGCCAAAAGGGGAAATCGATGGAAGGGCGATTCGCCGATACGATTGAATGACGGTCCGAGGTACAAGTTTGTGGTCCTTTATATCGTTTTACCTGAATTTTTATTTGTGTTTGGACTAGGGACAGCGCCTTTGTTAAATTACAAGTTTGAAAGAAATATTACAAGAGGGGACCTTTACACAAGTTGAAAAATGTGTTTTCTCAGGATCGTCCCTTTATTACTTTGTTACCGAAACGAAATCAGAATTGATGCCCAACCTTACCATGGGTGGTCAGTTTGGGAACTTGGGCTGCATTCACCGGAAGAGCGCGGGCCGCTGCAGTAGCGGTCGAAACAGTGCCGCTGCAGTGGCCGTGAGATGGGCTCTTTCCGCGTCGACTGCTGCACTTGCATCGCTTGCATGGTCCTTTCGGTAAAGCCCCTCTTTGCGTTTATTAAGGGACTTTACTGCGGTGAGCTGCGGTAAATCCGCTGCGAATCGTCCGCTAGCGATAGGTTTAGAATGATCAACTAATCTCGAGCTCTAGATCACCTTTCAAAAAATCGCAAATTCCAAGCAGCTGTAGGGGCTGTGACAGTTGGAAAGCGTTCACAAGGGCATCCCGCACACATTTTTGATGGAGTCAACATAGCCCAAGAACAGTCTCAACTCTTTGAGGGTTGATAGTCATGGCGGTGTCCAACTTTGACTCCTATGCAGAGAGAAGGTAGTCTGCTATTCGCGCACGGGTTGTGGCGACATTAGGGCGACGCCAAAATCTGATTGACTATGATTAAAAGGAAGGGTACATTACAGAGAGAAGGTATCAATAGGCGCATGACAGCTAATAGCAAGCCACTGCCTCCCGTGCAGCGACCTAGCTTTAGCAGGGATTTTGTTCAGCCATGTCGGAGGCCATGACTTGCGAATCGCAAACAGTGGTTTTTGCTATCCGACCGCGGTAATACACAGAGTGGGTCAGATAACTTGCGACCAGTCTTAAAAAGAGTCCAATCGACGGTGTGTTGTTCATAGTCCAATTGAGCGAGTATATATGTTTTCGCTTTCTGCCAAACTGGCTATAATTAACACAGGTTAATTAGCTCCGTTTTAAACATTAGTTTGTTCACAAACCCTCCCATACGCGAGTTGAGAAACATCCCATCGAATTGTTCCTAACAAGGCATTACATTTTTTTTCTCGAATATTTTCAAACCTTAAAAAGAGCGCGCGAGATTGAAAAAAAAAATATATATATATATATCCCACGCGACAAATGGCAGTTACGTTGCAGTTCGCTAGCGAGTGGTTACACGATGTTCCCAATGGCAAGCATTTAGAACGCCTTGGCAAAATGCAATAGAGACAGCTATATAATACTTGGGCCATCAACGCTACATGTTCATCTTTCCCACGACGGAGACACAATGCTCCTTGATCGTACAAAAACACGGTGTCCGTTGCAAACCCAATATGACGCCATTAACTGCGGGGGCGCCTTACACATGTTCAAATCAAGCCCACTTCATACATAAATATACTTTGAACAAGGCCAACACGGCAGCACAGTTATACGAGTAAGATACAAGCTTCATTCAGTGTCTGAATAGTCTCTTTCATATTATGCAGTAGCGGAGTAACTGTGGTCTCACATCTTAAGGAAACAAAGTATATAGCGGTGAGCCACTACGTCACCTCAATCGTTAGGAAGTCGAGATTTACAATAGAGTCAAACCAGAGCAGGGTGCTGTTGAGCAAAGCTATAAACACCAAGAAGCCGATCACACTGGCCACAATCTGGCCGATGATCGTCGACCCCACAGTGGTCCCGTTGGACGCTGCTTCCAGGAGATGTTTTTTTTCTCCGCGGCATTTAAGGAATGATGGAAGGAGGGAGAGAGACGGATAAGGGCGAGGCGCACAAATATAATAAAATCATTGACACGGAAAAAAAGGACTTGATGCATACGATCCGCGACGCAGTTCGCGAAAAAGCCATGACTGTTTTATATTCATATGTTTTTCTCGGTATTTAAGTACACAGCCATAGTTTCTAATAGATGGTCGCAAAGTCTTCAGTCATGACAAATACCAGCTCCGACTTCGTCAGAAACGGACGGATGACCAGGGCAGCTTTGGTCTGCAATATAATATGAGCTTCAATATATTAGAGAGATTTTGCACATGCATTTCTTGAAATTTTATAATATACAGCGTGTCGCTTGGATCTATTATACATTTCTTACTAGATCTCCGGAGTTCACAAGTCACTAAACGCACATCAAATGCTATACTTCATTTTTCTCTGACCCTTTCCGGGTTACTCTCAAGGTTGCCACACTACGAGGGGCCTGTTCCCATAACAGTGGTTTTAAACTCATATATATGCGAGTTTAACAACAATGCTTATCATTTTCTGTACCCTGTATATATATATATATATATATATATATATATATATACATATATAGAAGAATAAAAGAACCCTTAGTGGGGGAAACAGCCACAACGGACGATTTAATCTTCGACGTTTCGACCGGAGTCCGGCCTTCGTCAGGAAGAACTTTTACAGATGAACGCGGGTGTTATTTATACAATGCTACGGTCGAGTACAAATTTCGGCGGGGTGACGGTTGGAGCTTTCGTGAGAGAGAAGCGTAGGGCAGTTCTTATCCAGGTTAAGAAGCTTGACGATCGGGGCCGAAAAACTTGGCCCCGACCGTCAAGCTTCTTAACCCGAATAAGAACTGCCCTACGCTACGATTACCAAAGCCAAGAAACGCTATTGGACGGAAAGCAGTGCTGACTTGCACAGCTAATTTGGTCATCCCGGTGCGTTCCAATCTCAGCCTTTCTACTATATCTCACGAACGTATGCAGTAAAGACAACGGCGCAGGCGGGTGAGCCTAGCTCAACGAAATGCTTTTCTTTGTACGAGAACTCGTGCATAGAAGGCACTTTCCAAAGCCACGCGCTCGTACCCATGCCTTTGTCTGCACTACTGATTTTTGTGCAGATATCGGTGACAGTTTACTCTAGGCCGGCTTGCTAGAACAGCGCCTAAATTGAGACTGGCTGAAGGAAAGCAGTGCAAAAGGCGGGGCGCGAGTTTCGCTCGGATCGTGCGCTGGCTTTAACAGTGCTTTCTTTCCCCGTCTCAGCTGAGACTAGGGTTGCCGCGAACTTTTTTCGAACGAAGTTTCGACTATTGAATCAAGCGGTTCGAAAGGTTCGAAAGATTTCGATTTTCGACCTTTCTATATTGTAAAATTCGACGGAAGTCGAATTTTCGATTTTGTTAAACTAAGAAGTTCGACGCTTTTCGAACCGTCAAACTTATGACGCTAAAAAATTCTATCCTTTTCGAACTTTCGAACTTATTACGCTGCAAAATTCGATGCTTGTCGAACTTTCTAACTTGACATACCAAAAAAATCGATTATTTTCAAACTTCTTGCACTAAAAAATTCGAAGCTTTTCGAACTTTCGAATTTCCTACGCTAATGAATTCGATAATTTTCGAAGTTTTGAACTTATTTATCAAGGGAATTCTAAAAGTTTTGAATTTTCGAATCCTGACATGTCAAAAGGTCGACGAACTTCAAACTTTCAGGTAAACGTTCGACGTTCGTCGAACTTCGAAAGACTGGCGGACGGTTTCATTTGAATTCAAGTAGTGAGGTACATTCGCAATTCTTTTTTTTCTCAAATTTTTACATGCGGTGCTGCGTTCCTTACAAAAGGCAATGCCGTTTATTTCAATGTTCTGGCGGGCTTAGTTTTAAAGAAATAAATTCCCGAAGGGGCGAGGAAGGACGACAGTTTTTCGACGATTGTCGTTTGTGCCATATTTGAAGCGCGCTATAGCCGAAGCTATTTATGGTAGAGATGTTATACTTTTTTAAGAATGATCTATGTATAGCCTAGGTAAGAGTCGTCTTAAGATGTGATTATTGTTATTTAAGATAGGTTTCGAAGAAATGTCCAAACATGTATCTATGGGTACGTATGCCCTAAACTTGGAATTTTTTTCGTCTAAGTTTTAGGTATCGCATTTAAATTAACACTACAGACAGTACATATCATTGCCATCTGCAGAATAAAAAATAATGTATTTATTGTTTTTTCACGTTCAGGATTAAATTAAGTCATAGGAGAAGATATCCAATATTGTTCAAGTTCAGCACGTCATTAAAAAATAAACTTTTTTTTTTTTTCACTTCACGTTCTTGGGACGTGTTTCTTTTAGCCTGCACACATTTTGGTAGGAGAAACATGTTTCGAAGTTCTGAGCTTCTGAATATGCAAGAATACAACACTTCCGGCGAATTCTTGATAGTTTTTTTTCGTCAGCTTTTTATCTCGGCATTTATTGTTATGTTGTTTTTTTATTTATTTTTATCAATGGCACAGTTATTCAGGTCGAAAAGACATAGCTGTGAACTTCCGAATCACTAAGCATGTGACAAGTAGTGCCTTCTAACAATGAGTTTTCGAGAATGACCATCTACTCGATCTTTTATGCAGTGAAGAGCGACAGTAGCTATACATATGCATAAATAATTTCAGATTAAAATAACCTCGACCACGCCCTCTTTCCCCGCATTGTTTTCTTTAGTGTCCGAAATATCTGGAAGGGAGAAAGGGGAACTGCATCCCCCCCCCCCTCCCCTCCCCTACACCCCCCCCCCCCCCCCCCCTTCCCGTTTTTCTTCTCCCGACGCCACTTGTTTGGTAGGACGCTCCTCGACCTCGAGGTGTGTCGGCTTTTGTGCTTTTTTGCAAGGCGTTTCCTCCGTCCCGGAAAATAAACCTCCAGGACAATTACAAACTTAATTTACTATATGTCAGCGTCACTCGGGTGGTGTTCGATCGGATTACTACCAGCGTGCAAGGGGTAGGGAGGTAATTTGCCAGGTCACTTCAAGGTTTTTGTGAGCTTCAACCTCCTGCCCGCCCCTGGACGTTTCGAACTGGATGAGTATTGTAAAACAGTGCGTCTGTGTGATCACTACTGTGTGATGCACGCTAAAGACCCTCCCCCGTCCCCTCCCTCCCCCCCCCCCCCTCCCCAACCCCGGGGTACTGATCTATGGTCACGCGTCACTCTGCATCTGCACTACCAAATATTCCAGCACATCCGGGACACTTGTCGTCTCATTTAATTGCCTGACCCAACATCGCGGAGTCTGAATATCACACCCTATCTTTTCTAAACCTGATTTCATGAAAAACAGTGAGTCGTGAAAACATTATTTGAAACTGAAACTGTGGAGGAACATGAAAACCGGGCTTCGAACTTTGAAAACTTGGACCTAAAAGAAATTCAAAACCTTCGAATTTTTTTTTTAAATTAGCGTTAAAAGAGAATCGAAACTTTCGAACTTTTCAAACTTTATGTAGTAAGAAGTTCGAAATATTCGAATTTTTTTAACTTTATGTTTAAACAAATTCGAAGCGTTCGAATTTTTTGATTTTTATATCCAAAGAATTTCGAAATCTTCGATTTTTCGAATTTAATATCCGAGGAAATTCGAATTGTTCGAATATCTCGAACTTTCATGTTCGGAAAGTGCGAAAACTTCGAATTTACCGACCCTCAAGTAAAAAAATATTCGAAATATTCGAACCCGAAATTTTTGAAACCGTGAAAGCTTCGAGCTTTTCGAATTCGAAACTCCGCTGTGATCGAAAGTTGCGAATCTTTGGAATTCGAACCTCGGTCGGTACGAAAATATCGAAATTTTTCGAATTCAAACATCAGTTCGCTTTGAAAGTATCGAAACCTTTTGAAATCGAACCTAGGCTGGTTCGCGACATCCCTAGCTGAGACGCTGTTTCTAGCAAGTCGGCCCTGGTTTGGAGGGCACGTTCATTTATTCTACACTTGAATATTGGCGTGACGAAAACCTCACATGCGCAAAGTTTTTAGTCACCGAGAGCTAAACGTTATCACTCTAGCGACGAAAAAATTGCTGAAATTAGTCGTGTAACATATTTAGAGCTCACGACCACCGCTAGGGGCAGTTTCGCGGCCTGTGGTTGGCCCCGAGATGCTCGCCTATTCAAACCAATGTATGGCCAATCTCTTTTAATGAACGGCTCTGGCACGAACGGCTATGTAGCGGCGCCAGGCGGACGTTTCTTTTTTTTTTTTAGCATGAAGTATTTACATTATCATTGAAGATATGCCATTTATGTTTTCTAACAACACGTGGAACATATTTTTTTTTATGTGACCATTTCGATTTAAACGCGTTTTGCTTGGACAAAATACGAAACTACGAAACAAGCACGGCCAGGGGCCCTAATCTCAACGAGGTTACGGGGCTTAGAGTGATAAACCGGAAGTTCGGAAGCGGCACCCCCCCGGTTGCCGCCATGTTGTACGCAAAAGTGACCACTCGTCACGTGACCTCCCAAGAGCCGTGACGTCACAGGCAAGATGGCAGCGCCCAGAGCTGGCGGATGCGAGTTTGTTCGGTGCGCGGTAGCCGTGATGTGCAGCTGCTTTCCGACGACTTTGGGCTTCCTCGTGCTCGCTGACGCAGGTATATTGTGAAAATATGAAGGAATGAGACTTTATACCGCTTTTGCGCAAGATCGCTCTGGATCATCTGGATATTAACGCCTGTGAGACAGCATCAGCTCTGCATCGCCGTACCGGTGCTCGGATTCCGGGATCTGTTCGAGGATCGATAGAACTTTGAGTGCTTTTAACATGAAATTTTCGCATTCTCTGAGCTTTGTCTGAACTTTGAAATATCTGAGAATCTACGCGAAATGTAACGTCGCGTTAGGGCCTAAGGGAAGTTGTTTCAGCCCTCCGTCACCGAACAACCGTAGCAACTTTTAGCGAGGAAGCTCCTGCGATTTTAACCTTTTGTGCTCGCTAATCCACGATTCTACATTCGATCGCTTTTCTTCCTTTTTTTTTTGTGTGTGTGTGAGTGCGTAGTCACACTTATTTTCAGCTACGAGGATGACGTTTTATTGAGTGTGGGGAAGAATAAATCGTTGCAGGCACCTGCTTCAAAGCTATTCGACTTGCTATAAGAACGACGGTTTTGGTGCATGCATAGATTAACTGCACATTTTTTCTCTTTCGTAGGATTTATTGCAGCAATACTCTTTTCCAT